TACTATAATATTTTATAACGGGTCATTAGTGGAGTTTTTTCTTCAATGTCGTTTTTTTTTCACATTAACATACATACCTCGGCTAAAATGATGATAGCCATGCATACAAAGAAGATAATGCTGTACGTCTTTAATCGTTTTTCAACTGCATCATCACACGACTACAAAACAAAATTCTCATACACATTATCCATGTTATCAAATTGTCATAATAGAGATTTCCAATAAGATGACATTACTCGACATAACCAACCTATCTGACCGTATCTCGGCCTAATGCATTGAAAGATGACGGAGGGGAGCATAGACTGCATGGATTTTGTGGCTCTTTGAATACATATACTTTGTTGGAAAAGATGCTATTAAAAAATTAGCACAAACTACTATTTTAATTCTTTAAACATTTTGTTATTAAATTTAGGATGATTTCATTGACAACAACCTTTAAAGGGAATTTATAATTCAGTTACCGGTAATCAAATGCACCGACCATTACTTCGTCATTTCACTTGACCCATATGTTTATCTCTCAAACGACCAATTCTTAAAGCTACTAAATCAAAATTAAGTTTAAAGAAATAAAAATAATGGAATTTGAATCGAGATCATATTCTTATTTTTGATTTAAAAGTTTTAAGATTAAAACAAGAGTTTCAGACACGCCGGAATATATAAGGTGTACACGACTTGCGTATTCTTTTTTTTTAGCATACTTCTATCATTTATTTCAAGATCTAATGGTACTTTGTCACCTTTCCGTAGCATTTTATCTAATGGAATCCATGAGGACACATCGTCAAGAACAAATATGATTACACTTAACTGAATCAGTTATTTTTTTTTATATCTTGTCTTTAATTGTAATGACGTATGGATTCCAGGAAGAGCCCGTAAAAACGTATGCGTAATTAACGTCATTGCTCTTCAATTGTTTTTTTTTCTAAAATGTTTGGCGCTTAACTTTAGTTTTACGACCAACTTATGATAGCAAAGGGATATTATATTTACTGGTCTGTGCATCCGTCCGCCCTTCCGTTCTGTTCATAATATAGAACGTTTAAAATTAAATACCAAATTGACACGGATAAAGTGATGCACGGAACATGGAAATATGATCATGTGAAGGGGCATGGTGTCTTAAAGTTACACATTCTTGTTGCAAATGTTTTGATTAATACACGTACATGTAAATGCTATTTCCATATTCATAACTGTCTCTTTAGTCGCACGCTCGCCTCGACAGTAACCCCTCAAAGGTGATAAGGGGGAATAGAAATGTGGTCACTTTTGGGATTTGTTCCGATCGGCAGTTAAACCATTGATAGAATGAGGAGTCCGTTTGGTTGTGCGGGATGTACAAGCACGCAGTCCCGTCTGGTCAAAGTGGATACATTTAATCCGATGCCTCTCGTTCAGAGAATGCCACGCTCTCTACACGTTAACTATGCATGAAATATTTGCCACTGGACGCTAAGCAACCAACTATCAATCAATCGTCAGTAGCGTAACTTGAATTATATTTCTGGTGAGGCCAATAATTTGAATCTTGGCAGTCAGAGCCTCACCATGTTTAAAAGATGTCAATGCCAAATAGGAGTGGAAGGATAATCTATGAATCGCAAAATAGGTGTCGGTTATCATACTCTTGATAGGTCACACACTGGCAACAAGATCCGGTCTATGAAAAATCAAGATTTGTGGAATTCTATAATGAAATAATATTTCTAGTGCGCATTAAATTAATATCTTAACTGCTGCTTAAAGGTTTAATTCTCAATATTCAGTTACAGACATGTCCTGATCAAAACAAAAGGTATATACAAAAATAATTGACAGAATTTTATGTACGACCTCCTCGAAAAAGCTTTTGTACAGTTTTGGGGACATTAAGTTTAAGATCCACTATGCCTTTGAACTTTGTATGTTTAGATTTTTTCAAAACGTGTGGATGATAATAACTGGGTGAACTATGATGTCTCGCTTATATTAACCAAGGAAGAAGAGTACTACATAAAATGTAGGAATGCCAAGTGTCTTTTGAAAATTTTGTCCACCAAAAGTAGCATATTCGTTATAAAAAAAAATCAAGCATCATATCTGTTTCATAGTTGTGACCTCTTGTTTGAATCATTTGTTTGCGAGGTATACTTTGTCTGTTACTTAAAAAAGATATTTGCATCTACCTTGTTCATTTCATGAAAGAAAGTTTTGAAAACGTTAATAATGAGTAATGAGTGATAAGAGTAAAGCATTCAACGTTTTGAACCGTCGTCATTCTGTTTACTTTATACTACAAGGTATATAATTTTCTTTATCTCTTTTTTTTTCATGGTCAAAAATTTGGAGAGGCGATTGCCTCATTGTGTCAATGAAAGCTACGCCACTGCTCGAGTGCAGGAAGTCTTGGGTTCGATTATCGCCAGTTTCAAACCGTAAATTGGCTGCCTCTCTGCCAAGCACGCAATATTTAGGAGTTAGAGCAATGAGTGGTCGGTCCGGGGTCAAACTTATGTGTCCGGGTAGGAAGACATGTCTTCCTACAGTATAATACAGAGTCTGGCTCTAATTCATCATCTCGTCCTACATATGCATAAGTAAAATACATAAGCAACGAACACTTATATATATGGCCCTACATCCTATCAATACTCGTATATTTTGTTCCACTTCTAACGCTTATCCCCCCCCCCCCCCCCATCCCCCCCTTTTTTTAAATACTGGATGCGCATCTGGCAACGAAATCTTATTATATTATGTTGTTCAATGTTTCTTGTTTTCTTACCTTACACATTTCCATTGATGATTTATTCAGTAAAATGAATTCGATGACCCCCTATTAGTTGTTGAACAATAAAATAGATAGAATACTATAAGTTGATTTACTTCAAGGGATATAAAAAAAAATGCCTGGAAATGTCTTTTGTGTTTGGACTCCGATAGCATTCCAGTTAACAGAACAATCCCTAATCGAAAACACCTTAATTCTAAAAACAACATATATAGGGATTATTTTTATCAAAATATTTTGAAATTAATGAAAAAAAACAGTTGTTTAGAAATTGAATCGGAGCGATAGTTTTATAAACATTTTCAACTTTTATGTAAAGACAGAATCTGACAAACTCTGGTTTCGAATTCCTTAAATTGTAAGAAATATCCTTTTAATGATTTCCCAACAACAAATATAATAAAAAATAATATAGATAAACTATAATGAAAGACAGAAAAAAACGTATAATAGGGCGCTCATCTGAAAAGTGTATTGACAAATAATTTTCATAATCAAAACAATGAAAGATTACTCAAATCGTATGTATGATAGGTATAACTCAAATCGTACGTATGATAGGTATGGAATACGTGTGTTTTTACATGCTTTTATGTCAGTAAAAGTAAAGGAGGGAATCTGGAAAACCACGTGATAAATAAAAATGAAAGATTTCTATCATGTTTCATCGTGATAAAATAATTTTATATAAACGAAAATTCCAGTGTGTGATTTTAAAAGTCTTGGAATACTTTGTTTAAACTTGAGCGACGTATTTAATCAAACTCAATGATTGGCAATAACCAGTCCCATTAGGTCCGTACGTCGAGTTACGTACGTATCTCATTTTATTGGAAATCTATTAAAAGTGATAACGCATTGTTTTGTTGTTTCAACGACCTATGGGTTTTTGTATAAATTTATACATCATTATTTTCCTTAATATTTTCTTTTTTGTGTTTTTTGTGTTTGTGTTTTTCTGCATATATCTATATGAAAAGGACACTAATTATATCGACCTACGTGTTAAATTAATAGTTCCTCTTTAATCGTTTTTTTTTAGATTATACTACTAAATTTTACAAAATGTTCTGTTAAAACAATAAATTTTATTTGCAACTTGGCGCTTTAACAATATATTAATATATGTGTATTACAATAATTCGTTTAAAAACTAATCAAAGCTATCAGCATGAGTTGGCTCATTATTATTCAGATGTAAACAGTTTTAACGTTAAATCAAATACAAGATCATAAAAAACCGAATATTTAGAAAAATTACGGCAAAATACTGCAAAGGCAATTTGTACTCGGGGGTATAAAACCTTAGTGTTTCAAATAATTTTATAAACAGTAGATTTACAGAAAATCGATGAATAAAAAGTCATTTTCATTTGTTGTTTTTGTTGAGAATATTTCACCATTTTTGTATATTGTATATATTGAAAGTGTAACTAACAAATATTAAATGAAGACATTCCAATTGAATATTTAAAGACGCATCCTCAACACAGGTATTAATACCACATTAATGATTATAGGTATACCTTACTAACCTGTGTGTGAAAATACCCGTCTAGCATAGAATTTGTGCATTGATTATCATATCTGTCAGCGTATGGGAAGACATCTGATTGAGATTTACAACATTGTACTGGTATTCGACGACTTGATCTGTCGCCAGATGAGTACCAATGGGTAGAGGTAAATGACAATTCTATCAATGAGCCTACTCCACAACATTCTGCCTACAAGTCCAAAGTTCAAGAAGCATATCATTGAAAGTACCTTAACATTATAGTTTCGTACGTTCGTATTTCCGTATAAAACGCTCATTTCAAAATGTTTTCAGAGTAAAATTTGATGTTTGCACTTAGCTAGAGAAAACAGTTTGGCATAATTATTTATTAAGAAACTATTGACAGCAACTCATATAATGAGATAACTTAACTTAACGTATTTGCCTTCCTTTTTTGTGGTGAAGTCGTCCTTTATAACATTTTTTGTATAACCCAGAGAGATTTCTATTTTTAATTGCAACATCGGTCTTTGACAACCCTATAAATAATGATTTGTTTATGGTGTTTCATATCTAGCACATGAAAGTTGATCGGATAAAAAAAAACAAATTGAGAAGTGATCCATCAAATTGGTAGATTGATAAGATAAACTATAATAAATTAGTTTATATTCTATTTGTATTTTTCATTTTTAAAAGACATATATATTATACCTGAACAAACAGCGCGTTCCAAGAGAGCGATAATGACCAATCATATGTTGCTGAGTGGTGAGAGTAATAATAACCACCAGCATAACTCACAAATTGTGCTTTTAGTTCATTTTCTAACTCTAACGAAACCTTTAAGTAGATTAAAACATTACACATGTTACAGTAATACTAAAAAATGATTACACGCATATAAGCTAAGAACTATCATGTTCGATTAGTATACAGCATTATAAAAAAGAGCACCCCCGGTTTTTTGTGGGGTTCGTGGTGTGCCAATGATGGTTGTCGTTTTGTTACCGAGGGTATCATCTGTAGTCGGCACTTTTGCTTTGACATAAAATGTCATTGATACTATTTTCTGTAAATTTCATATTGATAACATACTGATTTTTATAAATCACTCGTATTTTTTTTACCCCCAAGATACAGATAACATTAGCTGTATTTAGCAAATCGTTTCGAAAATTCTGTTTTCAACGCTCTTAACCTAGGTGACTCGTGATGGAGTCCGTTAAAATTACAAAGGGATGATTTCAACTTCACTATTTGGAACTCTTGGTTTTATAGCTTCTTTGTGAGAAGCAATCCTTTATAGAGGAAATCAAGATAGACATTACAGGCCCTGGAGTATCTTATCAACTGGAGATATATACTCCGTATGCAGGGCGCTGCTGGAATGTTGCTTCATAAAAATGGAAAGATCACAATTGGGAAGCTGAAATCATCTCTTTTGTCACAAACTTTTGTTTTCAACCGACCCTAATTGTCAATTTCAGATGTAAGTCATGATATGAGGCAGACTTAGCTGTATCTGTTGGATCTTTTATTTCAAGATCGATGGGATAGATGCATTCAACATAGTCACCAAATTTTGAAATATTTAGTGAGAGAACATCATATATGTAGCGGAAAGTAAAGTTAAAGGATACTTCTGTTCTTTCTTCCTAAGCAGTTCATGTATGAAGTTAGCCTCATATGAATAAAGAAACAAGTCGGCAAGAAGAGGGGGTAGGTCCCTATGGGATGCCGATGGTTTTTTGAAACACGTTCTCCAAATATAACAAATATGTTGTCAATCAAAAAATCAAGCATCTTGATAATGTCAGTTTCAGAGAATGTTTTGTAAGAATCAGTGATTTTTTACAAATTAGGATTTATCCCTCCTTAAGACAATATACTTGTATCTATATTGACCATTCATTTTTTAGAAGCAATTCTTGGAACTTGTCTTTAATTTTGGAATATGGGAATACTTGTGTAAAGTGTAAAAAGTCAAATGTTTTAATACTATTGCAAGATGAAAGAGTCTTAGATTATATGTACTCTAAAAAAATTTAAACTCTTTGGAATTTTTTAGTATCATCTTCTGATTCACGCCAGCTCTAAAATAGGTAGTTTTACAATAACTAAGAATCCCGGCTTTGATGTTTATTAAAATGGTGTTTATTATTTAGAAAGTGGTTTCGTGAAGCACTTGGGAGACCAAGCAATACTCTGATGGTTGTAAGGACACTTATGTAGTTTAGGTATCCAATACAGTGGTTGAATTTCAAAAGGAAAATTGAACAGACCTATATGATTATCCAGGATTTACTCTTAAGTAAGTATCGTGGGGGTACAGTTGAGTGCATACCAAGCATTACATAAAGTTAACGCACATTAACGCCGCGTGCACATATTTCGTAAGTTAACTTCAATTTTCGCGTTTACTAGTAAACGCGCCTTGACTATAATTACGTTAACTCTGTCAAAATGGAAATTTCTAATGTCTACCTGAGTAAATGCCCGTTTACTCGGTGTCCGTTTAGTCAGTAGTAAACGGGCGTCTACTTCAAATTTCACAAGTTTACTTTCAGGTGCACTTAAAAGTAAACGGGCGTTTACTACAGATTTCACAACTGTATTATTACGTGCACTTGAAAGTAAACGCCCGTTTACTTTTCGTTAACTGATTGTGTAAAGTAAGAAATAAACATCGTGTTTATTTGTACATTTGTTTTATCAAAACGACTTTTATCTTAATATTTTACGTATATGTGTTTCCAACCAGAACAATTAAAAAAAAATGTTAATTCGAAATATTAACTTTATTAATTACATCAAATCAGTTCCAATAAATTTACTGAGTAGCAGATTTGCTATTTTTCCTTTTAAAAAGTAGCATGTACAAATATCGAGGCGAATAGATAGGTTATCCAACACATCGGGAAAATATTTTTATATGATGAGTAATAAACATCATGGTTTACGTTGCTTCGTTCCCCATTTCAACAGTCTCCTCCTAAATATAACTGTATGAATTTCATACATGGATTTTTAATCGTGATTCACCTTGTTTGACTTGGATTTACATGATTTAAGATTCTGTTTTGCCAAATGTTCAATCGAAAATTGTACAGTGTATATATAGGAATATTGATAAGGTGATGTATAAGTAACCATTTTAGACAGACTTATCCATAACGATTATAAATGATATCTGAGACGTCCGAAAAATATACTCGTTAATTCTGAACATGAATAAAATATTTGCCCCTGGACGTTAGGCTACAAAAGATGTCAACCGACATAATATATTAACAGTACACTATTCAAAGAAGAGAACTTCTCATACTTTTCATTATAAATTACATGAATCAGTCATGTCAGTGTTGAATGATGCCATTAAAAAGTTTTGTTTTAAATGTAACCATCCCGAACTACTGACTTCAGTTACAGTTCATTTTGCAACTATAAAGATTTCCATAATAAAATGCAAATATTGTCAGTTTTGGTTAACGCGGAAAATAACTTTGTTATACGAGTCAGTCTGAGGTATAAACACATCTGATATTTGTTTACGATTCAATATATTGAATAAAAAGAGGACATGCTGGAACTATAGATTAATGCGAACCAAATTTTTGAGTCATTGTTTTCCAATATTGCTGTCATTTGCATCATACAATCCATCCTGATATAAAAATATAACTGATTTATTTTGCGGCTATTGAGATTTACATAAAAAGTGCAAATATGGTCAGTTTTGGTTGATGCGGACAAATAATTTTGTTATACGAGTCAGTCTGAGGTATGAAAACTTCTGATATTTGTTTACGATTTAATATTTTGAAAAAAAAGAGGACATGCTGGCACTATCAATGATGCGAACAAACTTTTGTAGTCATTGTGTTCCAATATTGCTGTCATTTGTATTATACAATCCATCCTGATATAAAAATATAACTGATTTTAACTATGCAGCTATAAAGATTAACATAGTAAAGTGTAAATATGGTCAGTTTTGGTTGATGCGGACAAATTATTTTGTTATACGAGTCAGTCTGAGGTATAAAAACTTCTGATATTTGTTTACGATTCAATATGTTGAATATAAAGAGGACATGCTGGCACTATAAATTGAAACGAACCAAATTTTGGAGTCATTGTTTTCCAATATAACTGTCATTTGTATAATACATTCCATCCTGATATAAAAGTATAACTGATTTACTATGCAGCTATAAAGATTTACATAATAAAGTGAAAATATGGTCAGTCTTGGTTGATGCGGAAAAATTATTTTGTTATACGAGTCAGTCTGAGGTATAAAAACTTCTGATATTTGTTTACGATTCAATATTTTTAATTAAAAGAGGACAAGCTGGCACTATAAATTGATGCTAACCAAATTTTTGAGTCATTGTTTTCTATTATAACTGTCATTTGTATTATACAGTCCCTCCTGACCTAAACATATACTGATTTACTATGCAGCTATATAGATTTGCATGATATGGTGCAAATATGGTCAGTTTTGGTTGATGCGGACAAATAAATTTGTTATACGAGTCATTCTGAGTCATACAATCTGAGATGTGAAAACTGCTGGATTTTTGTGATGATTTAATTATTTGAATAAAAGAAGGACATGCATGAACTGTTTATTTGTGCAAAAAAAGAAATTTACTATGATTAATTTTCAATTGATTAAAGAGGTGTAATAACATTATTGATTAACTATAATCGTCAATTTGTCAATCGAAAATGAACAGTTGGTCATTTAATTTTGATGTACTTTATCATTTGATATTAAAGGTCAGTGTATCCAGGATACGATGACAATTTGCGTTAACGCTCGTTTACTACAAACAGTAAACGTGCGTGTACTTTTGACGAAATAAGAAGACGCGCCTTTTTTCATGTTGATGCGGAAGTAAACGCGAAAGTAAACGCCCGTTTACTCTTTACAAAATTAGAAGACGCGCCGATTTTGCATTAACGAGGAGGTAAACGCGAAAGTAAACACCCGTTTACTTTTTATGACTACTGAAATTTTGGAGTTAACGCACAATTAACGCGGCGTTTACTTGAAGTGCACGCTTGTGAACGCCGCGTTAATTTTTTCCGCCCGTCTACATGTAATACTTGGTCTGCACCCAACTGTATATGTTGAGTTTCCAAGTAAATGTTCAATACCTAATTCATTTATCGAACAGTTTATGTAATGTGATTTTATAAAACGACATTGTTTGAGGCTTTATCTGCGGGGACAACAACATAGTTGTCATGGAGGTAGAACAAGTGCTTTGTTACATTGGGTCGTTGAAGATTGATGTAGCATTGGTATTAATAGGCCAATTAAGTTTCTTAATTCTGATTTGTATTAACCACCTCACATCCTTAATTCATTCGGAAAGAGTATCGACATCTTCTTTCTCGCGTTTAGGTCATTTCCTGGTATAATCCTCGACTGAATCCATCAGTATTTTGAGGTTATGTTCCAATTGATGGATTAATGCTCTCGATAATGTGGTGCTTTGGATAACACATTTCGCAGAGAAGTGTTAATGACAATGTTTAGGTCACCAGTAAATAGTTATCAAAGGCACCAGACTTATAATTTGATACGCCAGACGCGCGTTTTGTCTACATAGGACTCATCAGTGACGCTCAGATCAAAATAGTTAGAAAGTCAACAAGTATAGAGTTGCAGAGCACTGAGGACCTAACATTCCAAAAAGTTGTGCCAAATACGGCTAAGGTAATCTATGCCTGTAATAACGTTGCCAGCTGGATTATATAAGAATGGGGAACTAGCACAGCTGCAATCAGGTAGTTTAGACTTGATGATACGAGTGTCTGGCGTACCATACGAATACTTTGGTATCTTTTTTTAGGTTTTTATCCAGGTCCTTTAATTTATAATGCTTCACGCATCTTTATAATTAAGGTTTCTATTATGTTGCAGGTTCACTTGAGGAAGCTTATTCCTGAAACATGCGATGTACATACTTAATCTTATTACAGGCTTTGCTACCAGTGGTGTTGAGACGGTCCTTGAGTGTACCCTCCGCCTTGTAGTCAGTACTTTTGTATCGCCATAAGTTAAAAGTTATTTTAAATCTTTAAATCCACTTCAAAATATTATACATTTGTTATGAAACTAGAATCATAACTCCCTGTTTCGTGGCGATCCTCATGGTTGAGCGTTTGGCTGTTCTGTGTGGGTCCTTATAATTATCCCCTGTAATACGTTATCTGTGCGTTCATCCCATTTATTTCCTGCATTATCACTATTATTTATGGTTTAAATATCGTTCAAAATACATGTATTTGTCTTTATTTCTCACGTAGAACGAAAATAAACTTTATTTGATACTAAATGCTAACGTTACGTTCTTGTATGTCTTATAAAATGTCATTAGATTTTGTTATTTTTGACGTTTTTACAAACAAAACAAGAGTTATTGAATAGTGTACATTTTTATTTTTGATTGAAATTGATCTCCACTTGAATCTGTATAAAATTCCAAAATAGAGTACAAATAATTGAGTTAGGTTAGTGGACATATCAGCACGATATTATTATATTTAAACGGACTGTGTTTCGAATATTATTTGCTTTGTTTAGATAACAAAATGAACATAAAGTAAAACAAATGTGTATGAGCATCTATCAATACATGAATAATATAATTGGTAAACTTACTCCTGCCAAGTATTTTCCCCACAATCCTGTTTGCACTACATTCGCAACTAACACAGAACACAATAATCCAGCAGCCTGCAAAACATTTAAAGTCAATAGACCAAGAATGAGAGGGCGGAACTGAAACAGTTCAATAGAAATAAGATGTAATGCTTCTCCATACCAAATATCATTGACCTACCACTATTGGTTCCGTTCAATCTGACCTAATTCCAAACTGGTTCATGTAAATTATTACTTTTCAAAGCCAACAGACCATGACTTAGGGTGCGGGGTTGAATGATCTTCATTGAAATGAGATGTGCCAGTAAGTATGCATCTGCATACAAAATATCATTGACCTACTGCTAGTGGTTCTTTGTAAACTGACCAAAGCACAACTTGATGCATGTAAAGTAAGCAAAAGTAAATAGACCATGATTAAGGGGGAGGAGCCAAATAACCGCCATGGAAAAAAGATGTACCAAATACTGATACAGCTGCATATTAACTATCATTGACTTACAACTAGTGGTTTCTATTAAATTGAGCTAATCACAAACTATAACATTGTTGACGCCGTCGCCTACACCAGAAACAGCAAACCTCCGTCAAAGCTAGACTATGAGACGTGTCATTTTAAACACATCTGTGAAGATGTCGCTAAATTGAATTCTATCACACGAAACAGAAAACGGCTGGTCAAAAACCTTTTTTTCTTGAAACAAATGAATAATTGGAACAACAATATGGAATGTGTTATTACGTTGCATACCCGATCTACCTTGCTTGTTCTTCAATTGTTTTTTAATTGAAAGTGGAAGCGTTTTGAAATATACAAATTCCAGTTCGAATCGTACATTCAATTGTAGTGTTTTGAATATTTTGATTAAAGTAAATATCGCATGTTAGCAAACAAATAACAGTTGATAAACACAAATAGATTTTGGCGAGCTATGACATTTTTCATTATAGCATCGTGAATACAATCTCTGGATTCATAGAGATAATGGAAAATCATCGTGTGACCTAACATTTGTTATCAATGAACTGTATGAAAACAATCATTGTTTTCTGTACGATGCATGATTTTTAATGATTTATCGAATAAGAACTTACAAAGAACTGGACTTTGCTCGATTTGTTTGCCTACAGATTACATCAAATCATGAGAAAATTAGGCGACGAACACAGCGTTACCTGAAAGTTATAGTACATTTTTGTTCTGTAATGTAACTGTTCCGGACCATATGAGTAGTTGGACCATACACGTATGGTCATGACCGAATATGTATACTTATATGGTTATTAACGGGCCCGACCATATGAGTATTTATACCAAATAGGTATTTTGCAAATAAATCCTAACTTCGTTTGCAGAAACACAGCTTTTTTTCCGACAAAATTCGGCTCAATTTACTTACTGCAATTCGTTATCTTTTACATGTTGTCTGAATCCTGATGTATATGTTATTTTAAAGCTTGCCTTCGCTAGAAAAAAATTGATACAACTTTGTCCTGTTGACTGTCGAAATGGAGTGATTTTTTCTTTCCCCAGTGTTTAAAATATATAATTCTTTATTCGTCTAATTTCTAAATTTGTATCTCACTTTTTTTAATTGTTCTCGATCCTATTCATACATTTTTACAATAACAGTAGTTTATGTGTGCTGCCCTCTATTTTTATTTATTCCACGTATAAACTACTGGTACTGTATAATCGTATGACTACGAGCATGAAAACATAGAATAGCTAAAATACTGTGAAATATTTAAGAAATTGTAATTGACGTAATAACAAATGAAAACACCAAAATAAAGAAAATACAAAAAAGAGGGTGCAATGCCGCATTTGCCTGTTAGTTCAACAGTTGAAGTCTAGTTAAACGGTTTATTTCGGTATTACATCGAAGTTGTATTTCAAAGTCAAGGTCGACATATTGAGTTTCGTAAGGAAACAACGGCACTGACCATGCAAATATAATTTTGCTATAATTTTGATTTGTGAGTAAATTCATTTATTTCATTAAAAATATAACAATGATTATCCTTTGATTAAATTAGTCACAATTTCAATTACGAAACTGTTAACTTATGATATCTTAAAGGATCATACCTAATGAAACGTACATTGTATTGAATTCCCGGACCGTATGGTCGGACCATATGAGTATATACGTATATGGTCATTACCTTACGCGTATGGTCCATATACTCTTATGGTCCGGAACATAACCATTTGCAAGATATACCAACGATTAAAACTACATGGATTAAGTCTCTTAGACGATATCACGGTAACATATTATTGCATTGCATTCATATAAAAAATATCGTAATAAGTTCTTACCGCAAAATGCAAAACGGGTTTCCATTTCGGTGAGATCATAGCAATGATGGACAATATAACAGTTGCTATGGATAAAGACGAAAAGGTGACAGTCACAATGAAAAATATGTTGATGGCTCTTGAGAAGGTATGATCGGTAACATTTATTCTTGCGAATATGTCTTGTATATCCAAGTTTCCAAAAACTTTGTCGTATCTAATGTTGATGGCTAGACAAAGCACAACAAGGCTACATATCTACATAAAATTCAACAATTCTTGTTTTATTGTTTAGTATATTGGTACGCGACTAAAAAGAATTAGCAAAATATTCTGTTTGTGGAGTGATTCTCCTGATTAAATAATCTTTTTATGCAAGGTTTAGTGAAAAAATCGGAAATGTTTGTATCCGTCTATTTTATTTGTTTTTGGTGTTTCCGAGGTATATATATATATATATATATAACCTCGAAATTGTCTGTTTGCGAGTATTTTTTTTTTTTTTGGTTCTTTTAGCTGATAAAACAAGGACATGACAACCAAAAATAAATCTAGGATTCAGCTCCAACATCCAATGGATTAACCACTAACAAAAACATGAAAAAAACGCCTTATATATTGTAGTTATTTTACATATGCGAAACTAGATTTTATTTTTGCTATTTCATTGTCGAAACAAGAACTTTAACGTCATATTCAAGTTTTATCTTAATGTTGTCTCGTATTTGGAAGGAGTAGAGGTATTATTAAAGGGGGCTGTAAACAGGTTAACTTTATCATCTTGTAACTTGATTTATCAATCCTTCTTTGACTTATGTGGTAGTCAAATTTTATAACTTGTACTGTAATTTATTGTCTAAGATGAGCTATACCTTATACATTGCATGTTTTACTCTTCTCTCCTTCATTTTAAAAAGATGTATAAATAAATAAGTCAGATACTTCAATGAGGCGAAAACCAAAAGATATTCTATAGGAAATATTATGGTCACACAGTGTGATTAAATACAATATACTCACGAAAATAATTCCTAGAGATATAAAGCAAACCAAGGTTATTTTAGACCTATAATTTAAGAACAGTATACATTTATAAAGTTAACATGTTTTGTTGTTGTTGCAAACAGACACTCTTGTTTTTGTATTAAATGCATATCGATGTCATACGAGAATGTTGTATCTTATAATAAAAATAAATCGTAAATTCATTATTTTTTCAAAAGTGTCGTTTGTTGGTGTGGTTCATAGGTGTTTCTCGTGTCTCGTGTTTATATAGATTATACCGTTGGTTTTCCTGTTTGAATTGTTTTACACTAGTCATTTTGGGACCCTTTATAACTTGCTGTTCGATGTGAAGCAAGGCTCCGTACTTTGACCTATAATTCTTTAATTTTTTTTAAATTGTGACTAGGATGGCGATTTGTCTCATTGGCACTCATGCCACACCTTCTTATTTATATTCTTCATTATTCTCTTGGAAATGTGTAGATACACTTTCTTTGTCTTAATGGGATCTTTTATCGGTTATCTGACCGTTGTCAATTCATATTATAATATAAATTTGTCCCATGAATTACATGTGAAAATCTCAAAAGATGTCTTTTTCAGTCAAAAATCTTTTTATTCCAAATACTTGTATTTCAGCACACAAAAAAACATAAAACGTATAGTCCAATTCCATCTCTTCTAACATAGAATTTAAGTCAGAATACATTATCCTCACGAATAAAATATATCGGGTCATACCTGATTTTAGCGTATCCATTATCGATTGGAACTTTCTATTATCAAGTTGAGAATGAAGAATTTTGTATTTTTATTTCACCTTTTTTTTGAGGGGAGGGCATGGTGATCTCATGCAATTATAAATTCACGAAATTAAAAAGGCAGTTTCTTTTCCAACCAATGTACTAGCTTGCAAGTAGTTAGTGTTGCTAGAGGGTTATGTTTGTCACACTGCACCATTATTACATCAATTACGATAATATCATAAACGTGAGTGTGTACTTCTACTCCTCTTCAATCATCGAACGCATTACAACATTATACCAACAATAGAGACAGTAGCTTCGTTCGATTAAAAAGACGATACAACACACACAGATTATCAGATAACTTAACATTGATATTTGCTCATGTTATTTATTAAGTCATGTTATTTCTACATGTAAGGAACAAATCTTAAAAAAGGGACGAAGTTGTATCCCTTCCTTTTTTTAAAGAATTCTGAGTACAATAGATGATTAATACGCTTCATACTTCATCACGCATGAACAACTATAATGTATAATTAAACATATATACAAGGCTAAATTGAAAACAACGTTCAAACCTAGGATTGCGTTGGATAAAAACCGCAATTTTTATACGTGTGCATGCAAAACAAATTTCTTGTTAGAGGGGTCTAAATACAGCACAAACAACATTTTCCAAACGACCAAAAATGTGAAAAAGTATATTTTAACAAAACGCATTTGACTAACAGGTCGAACAACAAATGTTCTTAAACCCTGCTGACTGCCATTGGCGATTGCCAAATAAACGGATCACAAGGTGTAATAAATGGATCTTAACTATAAATTTAATACCAAACAGAAAACAATAAACTTGCGGCAAAGATGGAATACCGCAAACAAAGGTGCAAAGATTTTTTGTACACCATATGCGGATTTCGACAATTCATGTCTCTTCAGTGATGTTAGGAATCGAAACGGTTATTGGAAGGCCACATAATTTACCTCAATTTAGGATAGACTCTTGAATTTTATGGAGTCAAAATAGGGTGAACGGATCATATAAACCCGAAGGCAAATATAATACAAGCCCAAATGAAAAAAAATAAACAAGTCTAAATTGAAAACAACGTTCAAACCAATCATTGCGTTGGATAAAAACCGCAATTTTTATACGTGTGCATGCAAAACAAATTTCTTGTTAGAGGGGTCTAAATACAGCACAAACAACATTTTCCAAACAACCAAAAAAGTGAAAAAGTATATTCTAACAAAACGCATTAGACTAATAGGTCGAACAACAAATGTTCTTAAACCCTGCTGACTGCCATTGGCGATTGCCAAATAAATATATCACAAGGTGTAATAAATGGATCTTAACTATAAATTTAATACCTAACAGAAAACAATAAACTTGCGGCAAAGATGGAATACCGCAAACAAAGGTGCAAAGATTTTTAGTACACCATATCCGGATTTCGACAATTAATGACTCTTCAGTGATGTTAGGAATCGAAACGGTTATTGGAAGGCTACATAATTTACCTCAATTTAGGATAGACTCTTGAATTTTATGGAGTCAAAATAGGGTGAACAGATCATATAAACCCGAAGGCAAATATAATACAAGCCCAAACGAAAAAATATAAACAAGTCTAAATTGAAAACAACGTTCAAACCTATGATTGCGTTGGATAAAAACCGCAATTTTTATACGTGTGCATGCAAAACAAATTTCTTGTTAGAGGGGTCTAAATACAGCACAAACAACATTTTCCAAACGACCAAAAAAGTGAAAAAGTATATTTTAACAAAACGCATTTGACTAACAGGTCGCACAACAAATGTTCTTAAACCCTGCTGACTGCCATTGGCGATTGCCAAATAAACGGATCACAAGGTGTAATAAATGGATCTTAATTATAAATCTAATACCAAACAAAAATCAATAAACTTGCGGCAAAGATGGTATACCGCAAACAAAGGTGCAAAGATTTTTTGTACACCATGTCCGGATTTCGACAATTAATCTCTCTTCAGTGATGTTAGGAATCGAAACGGTTAATGGAAGGCCACATAATTTACCTCAATTTAGGATAGACTCTTGAATTTTATGGAGTCAAAATAGGGTGAACGGATCATATAAACCCGAAGGCAAATATAATACAAGCCCAAACGAAAGAATATAAACAAGTCTAAATTGAAAACAACGTTCAAACCTATGACATATATATATATTGTTCAATTACCTTTTCCAGTTACTTAAAAAGAAAGATTTTATGCTTCTGAAAACTGTTCTGAATATTACAGACTTTGTATACATTTCATCTCCTGTTGAGTTTTCGGTTGTTTTCGTTGTCATTATGTCTGAATACTCCTTGTTAGCAAACAGGATTCCAATAATCTATGGCAAATAAAAATATATAAGACTTCGTAAAAATTATTTATTAAATGTACATGAAGTAAGCACAGGACAGATTTATTTTCGAGGTCAAACATTTGAAAATAATTGATTGCCAATCACATGAGTAATGATTTATGATAACAATGATGGGTTGTCTCCAATCATTGTTTTAAATTTATTATTACTAGAATGAAAATAAAAAGGCATTATATATTGAAAAAAACTCTATTTAACTGCATTTAATAATAAACTTAATGAGCAAAAACTATGACGGATCAACAGTCAAATTATAAATACATTATGGATACATTATGGATATATATATATATATATATAAATTTACAAACGAAATATCCTTGTTCGATTTTTACATGTTTTGGAAATTTATTTCTATATAGTTTTGTGTTATTTCTGTTTATCTGGTTTTCATACTTGTAAATGTGCTTAGAATCTATCCATTAATATCGTCTGTGACATAAAAAACAACAAAAGAACAACAAAATAATCTATATATATTACAACACATTAGATTCGTGTACCTCTAAAATAATTTGAAGCAACACAATCGCAAGAAACCACCCAACAAACATCTTAGTCTTGAACAAGATCACTTCTGCACATGTCTAAAAGATAAACATTTATTATGTTTAAAACATCCTTTTACCTTTTTTCACTTATGGCACAATTTTAGATATAATTGTTGTCACAATGAGATTTTATTAACTCGTATGCATGATTGGTATTTTTGAATTGATACTTCTATTTGCAGACCGTCAGTATCTTATAAATTGTACATTCTGCAGACTTAAGTCTAGCATTCATGTCTACAGTTACATCTAATTAAAAAGGTAGTGTCCACTATTAACTTCGGCATTTACCTGTAAACTCGCTGAACGGGTTGAGTATCACGTTTTACTTGTATTTGATAAGCTGAGTATTTATTATCAGGTAACATCTTAACGACAAAAGGTGGGGTCAGCTTAACATTTGTTTAAAGTTTAGTTTACAAAATGGCATTGGATTTCAATAGTAGGATTCCATTTTTTTACTGTTGATATGTATGTGTGCTAAAATTATCAGTTTTCAGCAACAACACACATGAACATGATATGATATTTATCTACGTTGTAATTTTAGTTTCCGAATTGGTAATTTTGAAGTTGAAAAAAGTATATTGATGTTCCATATAATGATAGTTTAGAACGGTTAAACGTTTCCACTTAAGGTAAATGCATGTAGGCTGATTAGTATGTAGTTGGAAGTATGCAATATGGAGATAAACAACCATATGGTCAAAGTAGTGGACAGTATAATATTAAACAACAGTATTTTATGACAATGTAAAATATGCGGTTATGAAACTATAGATCAGTCATCAATATTACAGACATTATTATGCACCAGACGGAACCGTTTTATTGAACTTTAGTCATTTTAATTAAATCGATCATTGTACATTTGTAATATATTAAATAATTATTGTGTTTAAAGTGTTCGTCATGTTTTATAACTCCTTCTAAGTCAATATGTGTTTTGTCCGTGACAACTGTATCACTACAAAATAGACAAATGAAACTTTAATTACTTTTAATTATAGGAAAATATTTCATTATATTTGTATTTTATAACTTCAGTGAAAGTATGAGTTATTATGTTTAGATTTAATTTTTATCTTGCGATATAGTAGATGTTATTTTCAATCTACCTTTTACTGCAATAAGACGTAAATCAAACATCGAAAAATCATATATTGACATCTAGGGAAAAAATAACTTCATTTACCAGGATTTATATAGGAAAAATTCAGTTAAAATATTTGTCTTATGCCAATGATTTTTCAATTAGCCTGGTACCTTTAATAAGACTATGTAACCACTGAGCAAGAGCCATTGCTAGTTAACTTTTCGTGGATCAATGTATAGCTATTCCGGTACTTTTGTGTTGATATTTATTTTCATTGGTATGGATATTTTTGAACATTAACGTTTAAAAAGTTCAGAATTTTTGTTGATAATAAAGATTAGTTGCTCCCCCATAGACATAACATAGATGACCTGAGCAGTAATTGATACAATATTTGCATTTTTGTTTATAATCTACAACTTAATACTTGATTTTGCCCTTCGACCTTTTAAATTCGAGCAACACTGATGTGTCTTATGAAGATGACGTACATAAGTATTGTCCTGGTATCTTCAGTTGGTTTTATTACTAATTTATGTCTAACAAATAAAATTCAATATGATGGTGGGATTTCATTTAAGCTTTATATTCTTTTTTCGCAGCAATATCAACAGACATCTGTAGCTACATTCAATAGCTTCCTATAGTAGCAAGCACTTTGATTATGCTGCTCTCCAATTTGTAGGTCATCTTTTTCTTGTTTTGATAAATTGCCATAATGTTTTGTTATTTTTATGACAGGACTATGCAGATTTTTCGCTTGTACTTTATACTGTATGTGTAAGCAAAACGACATTTTATAACTGTAAAAAGTCTGCCTATCTTAACTTAGAGTTATTCGTTATCGACCGTCGTTGAAAGTCCTTTTAATTTAATATAATTGCCAGTTTCTATTAGCCGGTTGATATAGGAATACGAATTATATACTATAGAAATCTCTTAAAACCAATTGTTTATCCAGACAATTTTTTTGTGTATTCCTGCTCGAAATGAAAAATTAAGTTCTAAACTTGTTTTTCTAAGTTGTTTATGTCCTATGCTCTCAAAGAATGAAAAAAAAAACACGTTAAATAATGTCATGTGTCCGACGCATATTTGAAATCTATAACTGTTCAATATATTCTAGTCTTGACAGGCTTACTGATACTGAATATTAACATCTATTGGAACTTTGCTATTAAAGTTGTAGTTAACAAATATTAAAAAATAAATTCAGTATTAAGTGTTGAAAAGGGCTTGTAAATTGTGTTCAAGTTGAAAACCTGTAACACACCAATTATTCTAAAAACATACAAGCGTTTGAGTTGAGCGTAAATGTTAAAGACACGGACAAAATTCTCGGTAAACATGTGAAATCCACTACTTATTGTGTTCTTAGATGCGAAGGATAAGATAGAGTAAGTAGAGAAAGACTATTGAAACTTACATCTGTTTTGTACCCACCACAGCCACCGAAATAATCAAATAATTCATAGTAGGAATTTGTGTTATGATCTTCTTTGTCTAGTATTCTGGGATGAGCATTTTTACAACAGAACTTTATTCCATAGGTCGTATGTGTTTCGGAGTAATAATTGACACCACAACACTGCAGCTGAAAACATCAAAACAATAATCAAATAGAATGATATCATCTTTTTCTACGTACAATCTTGTCGATTTCTTTTGTCTTTATTTTAGTTGTCAATAGGATGAAGCCAATACTCTTATAATTACTTCAACTTTATTTGTATTTTACAACATATATAACTACATTTTCACTTCTTGGCAAATGTGTTTTAATAGGCATTCAATTTATATTTCTATTGATATTTGGAACGTTCGTAGTTTTAAATTGTAATCTGCATGTATGGAAGAACCTTCAAATGCATTTGCAATATATGGTTATGTCGATGATGTGATCTTTAACATGTTATATTATTGAAAATGAGTATGTCTTACAGTCATTATCATGTTATTCCAATGTCCAGTAATTCTATTTCCACTGCCTCCATAAAAATAACCTAATTGTTGTAACCATAACTGAAATTTCATACCAATGTTGATCTAGAAAGAAAGTTATGTTTCATTTGAACGACAGATTAAAGCAGAATATTACTATATTAAGTGTTTCTCTATAGGTTTAAAGTTTGTTGGACCATTTGAGTAGAGGTCAATATGGTATTAACTTTATAATTTGACCAATGACAATACAACAGTTGTTCAATCCTTTAAAAACTGTATATTTTATTGAATAATAAATAACACTATTACGTTTATTGTTTTAATCAAAGATATGTCATTTTCCTTGAAATATCTATTAATTAAACATGTCACAATTGAAAAATCATGACAAAATTTAGCTGTTATTAATATCTTAAAATGCATTGATTAATCTGATCATAATGCAATTTTGACAGTCTTCGACGTTTCAGCTTCGAAAGAAAATATGGGGTTACGATGGTTGCATTGATTATTAACAAACAAATCCTATCAAAAAGCAGAGAAAACCCCTTTTACTGCTTTACAAAAACCCTGAAGTCCCACATAAACCTTCAATTTCCAGTAAATATACACGAACACAGTTTGAATGCAATCGGCAAATATTCTAAATCACAAGTAAACTGTTATTTAACTGATATTTTGACCAACAAAAACAGAACGTATCGTAAGGGCCCTATTTGACCCAAAATATTATATCCATGGTTCAAAATAAAAAGCCATTGTTTCAAGTTAAAGATTAGACATGTCAGAAAGTTAAATTAAATTATTTTTGTCGAGATTTTTTTATTTTAAAAGTTGATATTTACACCAAGAATAGTCCAAAAAAAAGATATTTTGTGAAAAATGATGACTACCTCAGGCAAAGCTGACCTTAGACGGATTTGGCTATTTTTTAAGGTCCCTTTTGGTCATATAGCTTTTCACTTGTTTCGATACATATACATCCTTGGCTTTCAAATATTTGACTGTGAGCTATCAAGATAAAGGTAAAACAGGAACAGCGCTTCGGACGAATGAAATGTATAAAGTGTCATTATCATTTTTTTTCATAACATTGGGTTGATACCACTGTAAGGGACTTTGAGTCCACAAGGGTATCATCAGATCAAGAGTTGGTGCGTTGGTACTGATATTATTTATAACATACCTTTATAAAAGTGTTCATTTATAAGTTATTAAGAAACTAACTCCCTCTGGCATATTAGACCATTTATGGATTTGGCTACTTTTAGGCATACAGCTCTTCAATTGTTTTGTTTCTCATATCTTCTGACTTTCAAATATTTGGCTTTGAACATTACTGATTTGGACGCACAAAATTTATAAAGAATTAATTTCTTTTTTGACACATCTAGTTTTAGGAACGCAGGGTTTGACTATCCAAATATTCAAGTCAGATATATAATTTATTATAACAAACATGATGTAGAACTATGCGTTGGGTGATACCTGTCTACAAATCAATGAAAATTGGAAATGGAAAATTCAGTAAAGTCATAAAAAGAACGCTGATTCGTAATAGACAGATAGTCCTATTTCCTATTTAGTCATTGTTCTCAATTGTGTAATTGATGATTTATTATGATAATGGTTAATTAATCTGCATTTGCAATTTAAGCTAGAAAGAGGGGCCATATTAGAGACTTCTCGAACTTCTTCTTTCTCTTATGAGTATCTGGACAATATAATATCAAGAAGTCCCATTTTGGTTAAATGTATCTTTTTCAAAAGCCTTAATGCTAGGTAAAACAAACCTCTACTTTGGAACCTTTAATGTACTACAATGTAGATGTTTGTTTTACCTAGCATTAAGGCTTTTCAAAAAGATACATTTGACATTTGACATTTACTTTCATTGGTATGGTAATTTTTGAACATTTACGTTTAAAAAGTGTAGAATTTTTGTAAACAATAACAATCAGTTGCTCCCCCATAGACATAACATAGATGACCTGAGCAGTTTTTTTATACAATTTTTGAGAGCACATTTAAGAGATGTTGTCAAAATACGATGATTATTTGCACTTGTAGTACATGAAAGCTTTAAAAAAGATCCTTGGTCACAACCTACGATCCAAAATATTTCATAACTAAAATAAGTAATGTTAATATTAAAATCCTACACCCCAAAAAAATTTGATCAGGCATGGTGGCCGAAACGGTGCTACAAACTGTATACAATATAGAATATTTGGAACAAAACTGACGTTACACCACAAACATGCCTTATTGAGGGATCATTACTTCGTTATTTAGGATGTGAGGGGGGAAAGGAAGATATTTTCAAATAATATTAATAACACACATACTGTACCGTACAATTTTTTTTAAATTTGCAATACTTATGCTCACCTCTGCAATAAAAACTATCCATAATACAACTGCAATAAGTCTTGGTATATGCAAAGCCACAGACAGAACAGAGCTCTGAAATTGAGGTGTTATTGGGATTATGTTAAATTAGCAAATATCACAAAATAATGTAAATAAAGGACATATGGATTATTACACAAAAGCAGAGGATTTATATTATCATAGTTCTACAGGAAGATAAATCCTTGCACCTAATTCTCAAATATATAACTATTTTTATTTTATCAGAATTGGACATAAAACATGATTAGACTTACACGACGACATGTAGTTCGGATTACAATATGGACAGATGCAAATCAAAATTTTACTACAAATACATTGCACGAATGTGTTAACACTTCGCATTCATTACTATGAAAAGTTAATCTGTTTGTTTTTTTGTTTGTTTTTTTTTGTCGTTGAAACACCAACCAACCAAACCAAAAGATACAGATTGTTTGTATGCTTAGTAATTTTTCGAAAAGTTACAATGTCATAATTTCAAAACGTGGTTTTTAACTGATTTAACATTTTCCGGCGATACTTTCCCGGGTGAGAGATCTATTTTCAAGAAGTATACCCATACGTTCAAGCTTTAATATTAAGTATGTAATTTCTGTATACTTGACATTTTGTGTGAGCCTTCTCGATGTATAGTCTCTGATATCATAATTTGAAATATGAGTAAATCATAGATAAAAAATGTATTTATTATAATCAATACTATCTTTATCTTCCACTTTATTATATTTCCTTTATTTTTTTGTTTGGTATATTCATTTATCTATCTATCTTTTCGAATTACCGCCATTTGTTAATCTACGTTACATACCGTAACAAGAAAGCGTTGCGATTTTCTCCACGATCCAGCCAAGCCAAGAACTGCCACCAACGAAGTACATATTCCAATTACAACCGATGCTGCAGCTAGACCCACCAGTATATTATAGAAATAGTAATGGTAAAACTGCATCTTGTAAAAAATATGTCTGAGAGAGCCATCACTAATAAATACGTCTCCTATTAGTGTTAGTCCGTGACCAAGAAGCCCAACACCTGCTATCTAGAACATATAAACGTAGTTCATTGAGTTAAAAAAATAATTGGAATTTGCATATCCTTTTTTCTGTTTGTATTTATTGCAGCTTTAATTTGGTATACTCATGTATACCTGAATAACCCTAATGGAAACAAACTAAGAACATACAGAAAATTAAAAAATGTTTACAAATTAGAAATATTTTTATTAATAGATTTAGACCGATACATGATATCTAATTTATTAAAAGAAGAATAGGTAACAGGAATCTAAATATTGAACAGGGTAGACACCGTAAATTACCTTTGGAAAAAAGATTATGTCCCCTCTGTAAAAAGGAGGTAGAAGATGAATATCATTTTGCTTTAAAACGTCAAATTTTAGAAAAATGTAGGCAAAAACTTTTTCAGGAAGTAGAGAGTATAGTTCCATCTTTCAACAAAATGTCTGATGAGGAAAAATGTATATCTATGTTTACATCAAATGAGTATGACATAACTAAAGTTATTGTTAAGGGAGTTAATGATGTATATGCATTAAGAAATAGCCTAGGTGATAAGAAAAACTAACTATGTAATACAAATTTATGATTATTTTATATTTTTGTTATATTTTTGTTATATATTTGTTATGTGATATTTTATAACAATTGCATTAGGAATATTGTACTTTTACTTTCAAATTTGCAAAAGTATCACCTCCTCAAAAATGTCTAAATATATACTTAAAGAATATGAATGTTGCTTAAATCTAAATATTATGTTTGTAAATATTGTCATGTTTGTCTTGTTAAATGTGAATTTTTTAACATATTTGCCAGGTACAATATACAGTTTGAAACCATAACATCTCTTTTAATTCTACAACAGATACAAACGTGAATACAAAATACGTCATAACGTGAGGCGAAATTGTGATCTAAACCTCATTTCTACTACGAATGTTGAAGATTATGGGTCAGTTGATGGTTGCTAATTCATATAAGCATTTAAGGTCAATCACTACCATTACTTACCAGTGAGCTTATTTTAAGCATGGCCGACGCAAATACAATTTTTGACCTACAATAAAAGAAAGTTAACATAATCATAAACGTTTAACAGACTTTACTCTTAATCTAAATTTTTGTCGAACTTGTCATACAAAACCTCAAAGTTAAAAGAGTTTTTGTTTATCCACTTTCGTACAATGATGGTCGGTTTAAAAAGTACCGATATTTTTACCAACATTTCGGTGTTTTTACAAATATGATATAAAACTGAAAGTTATTCAGAAAATACACTATATTATAAAGGGGGAAAACTAAAATGGCTTAAATATCAAACTTTTATCTACTAAAGAAAATAAAATCCTGTATATCTACACAAACTAGATTACTATAAGAAACTGAAAAGTTAAAGTGCGATTTTGAAAAAAAGCTGCAATTTACCTGTTCCAATGATCCTTTATAAAGATGATCAAACTTCGAAATATTCCATGATTCAAACTCAACAATAGGTAATACTTATTCTCTGAAATGCTGGGTTTCTTTTCTTTAAATTCAAGTTTACGGAATATATATTCAATTGCAACTATTGAACATATCTGAAAAAATAATATAACATTATTAAGTTATGAAGACACAGCGATATTTTGATTGTAACTTTAATTAAGGCTTCCTCAAAAAAAGTCTTACAAACAGATCAACAATCGGAACTAAAGATTGGATTAAAAGAAAGATTACTTTAACGTTTATGGTTCTTCGTTATACGTTATAAAAATAAGGAGATAAGGTATGATTGCTTATAAGACAACTCTCCTCCAAAGTACAAGTCAAGTGGATGTAGGCAATTATAGGCAACCGTACGGCCTTCAACAATGAGAGAAAACCCATACCGTATAGTCGGCTATAATAGTCCCTGACATGAAAAGTATGAAACAATTCAATTAAGAAAACTAACAGCCTTATTTATAACAAAACAATTAACGAAAAACAAATATGACAGACAGGAACCAATGACAACGACTGAACTACAGGCTCCTGACTTTGGACAGGTATATGAAGAATGTGGCGGGGTTAAACAAGTTTGTGAGCGCTCAACCCTCCCCTAACCTGGGAGAGTGGTGTAACAGCACAACAAAGGAACAAACTATAGAAATCAGTTGAAAAAGGCTCAACTAATTAGATCGATACAAAGCAGAAAAACATCAAACATAGATACAAACCGGACTGTGTCAGGGTATTTATCCATCCCATGTGTAATGCAAACATATAGAATCGACATATTGTAGTACCGTTAAAGTGCATATGTGTATAACTATTAGAAGTATGATTTTAATTTACTGATAACAAAATCAATATTTATACCAATAAAAACAATATTCAAATATCTAATTACAGTGTTGAATAAGTAACCTTTTAGAATAAGTTTATTTTAAGAATTGATAAGTTTACCAGGATCGTATATACATTTCCGGGTTCGGTAAACAACATCACCGTAAAATTTAGGATGTGCTATTTCGTCTGAAATAAGTTTTTTTACAGGTAAAGCCAAACTTGCAAACCAAATCTTTGTATCTATGGAAGAACTTTGTAAAGGTTTTAAGTAATTTGTGGTAACGAAATCACTGACTTAATAATTTATCAGTAATACATAGATTACGCTCATTGAAATCCAAAACGTCAATACAGACAAGGGCATAACCAGCGAGTTGGGATATATAAACACCATAAAATGGTGCCAGAGGAAAAACTATTCGTATGATTTTAATTTACTGATAATAAAATCAGTATTTACACCAATAGAAACAATATTCAAATATCTAATTACAGTGTTGAATTGGTAACCTTTTAGAATAAGTTTATTTAAAGGATTGATAAGTTTACCCGGATCGTATTTAAATTTCCGGGTTCGGTAAACAACAACACCGTAAAATTTAGGATGTGCTATTCCGTCTGAATAGGTTTTTTACAAGTACAGCCAAACTTGCGAACAAAATCTTTGTATCTATGGAAGAACTTTATAAAGTTTTTAAGTAATGTGTGGCAACGAAATCACTGACTTAATAATTTATCAGTAATACATAGATTACGCTCATTGAAATCAAAACGTCACTACAGACACGGACTTCACGAACGAGTTGAGAAATAAATACATTATAAGATTGTGCCAGAGGAAGATTACCAATAGGGAAAGAAAAATTATTCCTTTTGTCGTTAATTATTGTGTAGAGTGTCTGCTGTAAAACTGAAATATCTTAATCTAGGAAAGGACACGTATTGCTGTTATTATTTGATTTATATAAAACAAGTTGTTGAGGGTAAATTACGGCAGTATATTAAGAGAATTCTTAATTATTTAACGAAAACATATCATCAAGATAACGGTTAATGTTGTTGAATTTATCAATTAAATGGAATTAATACTCTTCAATGCATCATTATACTCTTTTCTTTATATGTCCGATGCGTACATATAAAACAGTATTATAAGTTTTGGTCTTTTTGGCTTTTTATTATTGTTGTAAGGTTATTTGGATTAAAGGAGATTGTTGGTAGGAATAAAAATAGTTATTTATGACACATTCAAATTGGTTTTGTCCATTTACGTCGACACTTGATTATGTGTTTCCTTACATTTAAACAAAAAGCACAGACCTGATAGAAATTTTTAACCCATTGTTTACACAAAGTTTACCTGCCATGAACAATACAAACCTTGTGAATAGTAAAACATACATAACTTACCGGAGCACATTATCTCACTATCTATCTCTGATTGTATAATTAAATAAACTCATCATTGACATTTTGTATTTGCGCCCGACGCGCGTTTCATCTACAAAAGACTCATCAGTGACGCTCGAATCAAAAGGAGGTTAAAAAGGCCAAATAAAGTACGAAGTTGAAGAGCATTGAGGACCAAAAATTCCTAAACGTTTTGCCAAATACAGCTAAGGTAATCTATTCCTGTGGTAGAAAAGCTTTAATATTTCGAAAATTCAAAGTTTTGTAAACAGTAAGTTTATGATTATGACCATATCAATGATAATTCATGTCAACACAGAAGTGCTGACTACTGGGCTGGTGATACCCTCGGGGAATAAAAACTCCACCAGCAGTGGCATCGACCCAGTGGTTGTAAATAAAGTTATGTCTTTATTTAATTGAAAAAAGGTTCTCCTTTTGGTATCTTCTATTATTTTACTTAGAATGAAGTGCTATTTTTGTTAAGATTCAAAATTGCATTTTCATAGATGATTTCAATTAATTCTGTTTAATACTTCAATGATGGAAATACAGATTTTGTCAAAAGGGTTTATTGAAATAGGACTCGACAAAACAATTGTTTCAAAGTAATGGCCTACAATAAATATGAAGCGGTAAACAAGACAATTTGGAAAGGTTGAAAGACAAGGTAGGTGATACCGAAGGGAGATTTAACAATTTAAACTAACAACGCCATGTAAAAAAAATCCGAAAGACGACAAACAAGTTGAAAAAAAAACACTACATCGAAACAAAAAGGAATTAGCAACACGGACCCCGCCAACATGGATTGTGATCTAAGGAATTTTGGAAGTGTAAACTAATACTGCTCCACTAGCGGCACCACATGTGCTCCTCATTGTAAAGTGACAAGTGAACTAGTACACTAATTTTCTTATTGCTGAAGACTTCATTGTCATGGAAATGATTTATAAAGTCACTTTAAAATTGATTTTTATAAACATTTTCCACACAGCTTCACATGGTATGGACAAATACCTGACAGACAATACACGTCACAATTATCCCGATGTATATTTCTAAGTAACTGCCTAATTCCTGGACATATACACTCCAGCAGTAATATCTTTCCGGGTTGGTATTTGGGCATCCAAGCTACAAAATCAAAGAAAACCAATTCATTTAAGTATTTCCATTGTATATATAGTTTAGTATTAGTTAGTCGAACAATCATTCGATATATGAGAACATACAAATACATTCAATCTTTATATTTATTTGTAAACGTTTTGTATGTTCATATTATGGAAACTACTCATAAAATTACAGAATTAATAGTGTGGTTTCGAGTATCGATGAAGACATATTAAAATCTGAATTGAGCATCTGATGAAGTAACGTTTGTATCTATTAATGTAATTATTTGTGATTTTCAACACATGCAATTTATCTGTTACCAGTCTTCAACCATGTGAATCATTAATTTGTGTTATATAAATTTTAATACTAAAACACGTTCACTCATCTGAATAACAACTTATGTGAACAAAATAAAACTCAAACCGAATTTCGTGCGTAACACGATTGTCTATAAAAAAAACAACTATCTTTTTTAGGTTTAAAATGTTGTTCAAAGGTAAAATAACAAAACTATCGAACTCCAAGGACAATTCAAAACGGAAAGTCCTTTAACAAATGACAAAATTAAAAGCTCAAATACATCAAACGAATGGAAATACCTATTTCAACAAAGAAAAACAAGACGGCATATAGATACTCTATAGAAAAAGTACATTAGCAAAAATAAAAGACAAGAATACAAAAATGACCATAGCATAATAACACAGTGACGGGATGTATAAATACAGAGCCACGTCAAAAGTGCACTACTACAAAGTACCAAACAGTGAAGGTTAATAATATACAAAGACAAATAAAATTACAAGATAACACGTAATTTAGATGATAAACAACGTCAGTACCTATAATCTATACTTCAGGACCATCATGTATTATTTGTGAAGTTGATACGGATTATTTATCAACAAAGTCTTGGTATCTTTCGATGAACTTTTTTAGTAAAAAGAATGAGACTTTCTTTGATATAACCCTGGTTCATCAACTTTCTACTCAGACACTGGTGACGTTTTATTAAGACTGAGTAGCAGCTGCAAGCTTCGAATACCGAATGAGTTGAGAAATGTATATCCCATATGCAGTTGTTGGTATATTACTGCGAAGGTGGGGAAAATTTATAATTTCAAAATTAAAATCGTCTCGCTTGTATTTGAAAACAAGTGACAAGTCACTAATACTTATACTGTTACTGAAATGACTCCTTATGTCCAATTCCAGGTATAAGTCTAAAAATGAAACGGAGGAAACCGTGTCTGTTGTTTCTTAACTTTCTAGTTTTGGAGGACATATGCATGGAACTCAATCAGATAAGTTTGAATTGTTAATGGAAAGAACATCATCAAATATTTGAATGTACAATTAAATGATCTGGCTTCTTTGATTTTCTTGTTTTAATTATCTTAAGGAACACCGACTCATTTATTCCCTTAAATTAAGATCAATTACTTTTCAGTGTTCGAATATGAGATAACTAAATCTGATTATTTTTGTCAACCACAAAATCTAAGTGTTTAAGCGTCCCATCAATACAGTAAAGTCAATGTCTCACCTTTTGTAAGAACTCAGGGAACGTTTTCTCACGGTTCCAGTATGATATGTATTGATAACCAGATAAACTAAGCTTGTATGCTGTTGTGTAATTAAGTAATGTGTCGTAGAGGTCAGTTTTCTGTTAATAAAAAAAGATCAAATTATTCTATATTTGAATCAAAATTAGTGCATGCATGCATATGCCTTTTTTGCAAGTCATCTGGGTATTTACATGGACACAATATATATGGAAATATATATCAAATTTTAGATAACATGATAACAGCATTTTCTATTTCAGATATCACAAATAAGTTCAGGAAAACGGCTACTTAAATAATGTTCAATGTAGCCGTGTTTTTGTAGAAGATCATTTGTTGTGCGGTCTGTTTTTTATAAATTTCTTCTTGTTTTCCTTGCAGACTTTGAGCTTCATCAAAATCAGTAACAATGAAAAATAGGTTATGTTTATGTCCTCAAATGGCATTGCATTTGGTTTGCTTTTATATCTTCTGCTTTTTTTTCAAGAATATTGATTGTGTCTAAATGCACTTTATTTTTTGAAATATTCAAAACTTGAGCTCAAAATGTCATTGCTTTTCTGATTTCAATTCTATTTCTAATACATTTTAAAATGCATAACTTACCTTGTGATATATTATCGAAAGAAGCACTATATATATAATGTATACAACAATCATGAAAGAACTAAAGACAACGGCCTGAAACAAAAAAAACAAATGTTTGCATAAACAAATCTTAAATATTTATTTCTTGCACTTTATTTCAAAGAGGATCCTTTTAATCAGTAAAGTATTATCACTAAAGGAATGAAAAAAGAAAATCCGTAATTATGTCCTTTTGATAATTTTGAATTTAAGTAAAATACTCTCTATGTTCTTTCAATGCATGCTATCATCGTCAATCTCTGATATTTTTTAAATGTTGATCGACCCTTGTCGTTTGATTTGGCATTTATCAACGTTTGAATGACTTAATGCCTTAATTATATTTTGCCCTTTTTTTATCTTTGACTATATGCCAGTCAATGTATCGTATATAACATAGATACAGCGGACTGATGAATATAGTGACATCAAGATTATTTATAGAGACCGTTTTTGGAGTTTTTTTTTTTTTTGTTTGTTTAATTTTTACCATGTCAATAAACCACTTATGCAAGAAAATGGCTTTGTATTATCGTTAACCCTAAAATTGTTCCCAGTTGTTTTGTTAGAAACACACTCTTTACAGTTCCGTATTAAATTTTAAAAATATCATGTTATTTTCGGCAATTGAAGTTTATGGACGAGGAAGCCATCTCCAGAATTCTAATTGGACCTTAGCTTTGCTTTAGTCCATATACCTTTTGACCTTAGTGTCATGAATCATTTGTAGAATATCATACTAAAAGCTTATATTGCTCCTATATATTTATCAAATATGAGCCAATCCATATAGAACCAGGACATTGAGCCATTTATTTAGTTGTGTTGCGTCATCACAAATATAAACAGAGCTTTTTCTTTTTTATTGAAAAGTTATTGCGTTTAGTTTAAATGGATAAAAATGATACTATATTTCAAAATATTTTATCTTTATACAAGTGTGTTTATTTCCCATGTTATTCAATATAGATTAATATTTTATTAACTTTTAACTGTGTCGTTTGGATAAATAGTAATAGATAAATATAACTTAAACTTTATTTCGTTTCACGATAAGATTTAAGCCTGTTGTAATGTTTGACCTTAATATCATTTCAGCACATAAATAATTTCACTTCAGGCTATATGGCAGTCCTAAGTATTTCATGTAGTATTTTATGAACTTGTTTCGTCTGTTTTTTTGCTTTTTGCAATGGCTTTGTAAGTTTCTGTCAACTTTTGAATTTTGATTGCATCCTTTATATCTTTTACCTTTTTTATGGACCGTTTATTTATCTCTGCCTCGCTTTAATCAATAGACCATCTTAAAAATGACCGTTTGTTCAAGAAGTTGTCATGTGGTCGTCTTTGCCATGAGTAAAAGGACAAATGCAGATTTATGCTCATTTTTGTCATAAAAATTATATGAAATGAATTAAGCGTAAGCATTACAAAAAAATGGCGTATATGCTGTCAAATTTATTTGTGTTATTAATTGGAAATTTTCCATTTTATTGGTACTGTGTAGTTTGTAGTGTGATACACAACACTGAATATAATTATTGAAGACCATTTGATCAGAGAACAATCGAAGGTCTTCCCAGTCTTGAATTTACTTTGTTGATATCAAAATGAGTGTAAAAAACATTTTCATCTGGTTTAAAAACTCACTTCCCCTGTCGGAAAATAGATTATCTAACAGAGAATCCAAAACATAAAGTGTGTAATATGTTTGTATAAAAAGGGGAAACAATTAAAGACTTTCACTATATATTGATCACTTCAGGCGTCTATTTTAATGTTTACAAAACACCGAGTCTCAAAATGTATGTTTTACATATAACTTTTGCTAGAAATAAGGGTGAGCATAGCAACTTCTGGATTATCATGTTTATACGATATCCCCCATGGTGCCATATGAATTTTTGTTTACACTTAATCCGAAAATATAGGTTTCTGTTTATTTTCTTTTCTTAAATAATAGATATGCTAGTTACTTCAGGTTAACAGAAGGTCAATCCATGTGTCATAAGACAGCTTTCTTTACACTGATTACGAAAATATATGGTTGCTTTGCTCTTTGCATTAACATAAGTGCTACAGCTATCTCCGGTTTGATCAAAATCATTTACGATTGGCATTTATCAAAGGAATATGCTTCTTTACCAATTGAAAATGACCTAATGGTTTTATCATGTACCAGAAAGATTTTATATCAATGGTTGATATCTAGACGTCAAAATGACCTTCGATCTTGATCTCGATTTCAAGGTCACAGGTCATTCATTTTCTTTCACATTTAGGGTTAAGGATTTATACTGATTTCAAATATATCAAGGAACTCCCATAAACAGTCCCCGAAGCACTTCGACTCAAATCTACTGAAGTCACACCATGTTGTTACCAACTTTTTGGAAAAACCTTTTATCGTTAACTGTTACAGTTTTTGCGAAATACGTAATTGGACAAAGGACTACATGTCGAAATAATTTGCATGTAGGTCTCTGTGACTTACGATGTATGATTTTGATTGACATATAAGTTATGTCAAATGTGAAAAGGGAAATCATTCCCATTTAATGTCAAGTCAATAGGATTTAACAAAGAATATGAAACTAATATTTTGTCAATATCATTTATAATTACAGAGAAATAACAATAACAAAAATAAGGAATACGCCGTAGATATAACTCTTATAAGAACATATGTTCAGTTACACAGGGTCAATATTGAAACCTTTATCAATGTATGATATCATTTTTGAAAGTCTTTCCATATGTCGCAAAACACGAAACAAAAAACTTCTTCAGACGGCGGATGAAAAAAAATATCAAAACAGACCGAAAAGTGGAAAGACCTTATGAAAGTCGGCTGACATGAACAAAAGCCGTTACATGATTTAATTACTTGTAGCACAACAGCAGAGTGTCCTTTGTTTTCGACATTTTTCACTTTTGTATGTTCTTCTTTGATTAAAACACTGACGGTTCCAGATTTGTTGCACCATAAGCGCATTTAAACAATAAATTCCTCTTTAGTGATGTTTGACGCAAACATATTTGAAAATCCAAACCTTATTAAAAAAAATGAAAAGCGTATAATCAATATTCACAGAGAGTATACCAAACGCCGGGCAAGGAGTTAGTGCTTTGCATGATGGACATATATTCCTTAATTTTGAACAGTTTTCATAATTTTTAGGGGTGGTATAAATCCCTATATTTATCATCAATATATTTCTAATGGTAATATATCTGCATGCATCTAAGATCTTTAACTCGAGAGTCATATATAAATATAAATAATTCGTGTTAATTAGATAAAGAATTCACAAATAATCTTATAATAGATCTGTATGTAACAATAGTAGTAAAGAACTATAGACAAATAAAAAAAATGTAGTATGATTGCTAATGAGACAACTCTGTACCAGAGACCACATGACGTAGAATGTATTCGTTCTTTTTACTCACCACAGCTAATAGTCGCTTATTCCTTCCCAAAGCTCCCCACAATCCAAAAATACCAGTCATAAGTTCTACCGCAAATACTCCAATGAGAGAAAATATAATTGATTTAACGGTTGATCCTAATGGCATCCCGGCTATAACCTCCATGTCAACAACTTTGATAACTTCTTCATCTAAGATGTCGTCTTTAACTTTGATGTATATTGACATGAATATGAAACCAAAGGTCAGTGTCTGTAATGAATAAGTTTGATTAGACCTAAATTTAGTTTAAAGAATCATTTGGGTATTTCAAACATTTACTTTTGACTGATGGTGCTCGAACAAAACTTGTTCGTAAAGCTTACCAGCCACGAGCTACGCAAAAGATGTAACTTGTGGAGCAGGACTTACTTAGACCCGTCATAGTAACTGAGATCAATATGGCATTTTTGAAGTTCGGGTTGATCGGTTGTTAACGTATTGCATAGTGTTCTATACACTGTTGTCTATCTTTTCTGTGGTTTGTAATTGTCTTTTTGTGTTCGTCATTTTCTTCTTTGCTCTTCTCCCTTTTTAAACCGATTTTATATATATTCAAGATGAATACAACAACTGCAAAGTTATTTAAAAAAGCAGAAATAACTTAACAAAGAAAAGAAATAAGAGATAATATCAAGGTATAATCAAAACAAATAAGTCGATAAAAAAGGCAATATCACCATGGGCCAAGATTGAGTTGTAGTGCCCGTCACTTTACTCAATGCATAAAAAATTTCGAAATTGACCACCTTTTGATAATGTCCAAATCGAAAAAAAGATGACTGCACTGTGGCAACGATATAAAACAAGTGTGACAACGATATGCTATAGCGATCAGCTAAATCATGCTGGCTTCTATAAAACATTTAGTGGAAGGTCTTCAATTTTATAATTTGTAAGTTTTGGTTCAAATAAGCTTAGAGCAATAGTTACCAGATACAAAAACTTATGATCCAAATTTCACTACGCACGTTTTAACACTCAAATATCGATAATATAGGTCCCGTAAACATCGATAATTCGTAAATTGTGATGTTGTTACAGAGTCTCTGTTTCTTGTTATTGACATTTACCCATGTTACAAGCAGCTTTCCAGGTACCACAAATATTTTTGTGATGTTATGTAGATATTTTTTTCGGTATTTTGAAAAACATTTATTTAAAACATTTTTTTTTTTAAATTTTTTTACAATGATGTAAAAATATTCATCAAAAATCTTTTAAATAATTTAGGATATTTTGTTTGAATGTTTTATAAATGTTTAGAAGATATGTAGTTCCTACCTCTGAAAAATATTTAAAAGGCATATGGGTAAAACATTCTTAAACAATGTAGTTCCTATGTTTTTTTAAACATTTTCTTAAAACGTTTCACGAAATGTTTTAATAACATGCCTTTTTGATATTTTAACAACATTTTAAAAACGTTACGCATCTAATATTGAGAAAATATATTTACAAATCATTTTGTTGCAAATATTTTAACAACATTTTAAAATAATATTATGAAAACATTTATGCAAAAACATTCAATAGAAAATGTTTAAACAATATTTTGCAAACATTCAATTAGGTTATGGAATAAAATCTTTATTCTATCAAATGACAGAAGGTGATTGAAGCGGTACTTCCCACAAGTGTACGTATTGCTACTTTCCGGATTTTCTGTTCCAGTGCCGACAACCAACGTTTACAAATTTAAAATTTAACTGTTCCCGATGACTAACGAACATGATCCGAAGCAAATTTTGAACCAGTAACCGGAAGTTTTTATTTATCGCCTCGCTGTAAACAAAGACAAAGGAAACGTACAAACTAAAGAATAACCTTATTAGAGATTTCCAATGAAATGACATACGTACCTAACTCGACGTACGCACGTAACGGGACCGGTTATTGCTAACCTATTAATTTTGTTAAATGCGTCCCTCAAGTTTTAACTTAGTATTCCTAAACTATCAAACCCATTTATGGTACATTTTATCAATATCAAGTATTTCTAAGATGGATGATGAAAAACGAAAGAAATCATGATTTTATTATATTGATATTTATATATCACGTGATTAATAAGATTCCCGCCAAAACTTTGCTGTCATTAGACCACGTATATACACGTATCTTTACCTATCATACGATTGATTTGAGTTGTCTTTCATGGTTTTGACCATGACTTTGTTTTTTGATATACTTTGCAAATGAACCTTCTATTATTTAATATTTGACATGCTTTTATTTGTCGTTATCAGATTGGTGTCCCTTTTTCCTTTCGTCTCTTAATGTTTTAAAATATTTAATTTCCGTAGGTATTTATTTTTAGACAGATTTGTCTAGCAATTTCAGAAATATCGATTTCAAAGTGTAAGTCAAAATTTGTCTCTGTTTAAGTTGGGATTGCATCATACTTTATTCAGCATCATTTCAAACGTCCTCTTCTTCTGCAGTTAATCTTGTTTATTTATAATCTCCAATTTTTCCCCAGGTACCACAAAGGGATGTGTATATTTAGAAAAAAATTAATACAGGTCTTGTACTACTTCTTTAAATTTTTATAGTTTCAACTAGCATTAAAAAAAAGAATTTTGTAAATAATAATGATATACGTAAATAAGTGTGTACACCAATTCGTTATATAGATTGTATTAGGAAGGTGTACTTGATTAGCAATTGATGACTAATCTGCATATAAACATTGACCGCTGTGGATAGTAAACTATCAATTTATAGTACATAGTAATTGGCTAAAAAATGTTCTGTCCCAAAATATCTCTGATTAAAAGTGGATGAGAATGCCAATTTATTTACTTGTTACATTTTTTTAACTATAATGCCACTTCAGTTTAGTTGTTTTAGTTGTTTTTGGATTAAGACAACTCTTATTAATCCAATTAGAAGTGGATTCTAAAACTATCACATAATGATTGAGTAAGGAAAGAACTTGGAGTTTCAATTTTTGTCTCACCTTAGAGGTATATATCTATATATAAAAGTTTAACTCTACGACTTATCCATGCATAGTATCAACAGTGAAGGTGTTACACGGCTGAACACACATTTTATATTCATAATTACTTTAAATATGTATATATTCTTTATGTGCCTGTCCTATGTCAGGAGCCGGTGGTTCACTTGTTGTCGTTGGTTCATATCTGTTATATTTGTTTTTCGTAAATTGTTTTGTCTTAAATCAGGCCGGTAGTTTTTCTCAACTGAATTGTTTCATATTTTTCAAGTTGGACCCTTTTATAGTCGACTATATGGTATGGATTTTTCTCATTGATGAAGGCCGTAATGTTGCATATCATTGCTTACATCCACTTCATTTCTTATTGGCAATCATACCACATCTCCTTAAAATTTTTTAACTAAATACGTTGAATATTCTCAGATAATTTAACATGTAAGAATCAGCATTCATTACCTGGTGGTACTTTAAGATCGGTACTCTGTGTCTTTCATCATAAAAATGTAATTGTTTTGGGCTTAATTCAAATTTGATTAGTTGAGCTATTTCCAACTGAATTTTACAGGTTTTTTTCTTACATTGTGCTGTTACACCAGAGTGTTGAGCGCTGATAAACGCGTTTAATCAAACCAAATTCTGTATTGGCTTTCCCAAGTTAGGAGCTTTCAATTCAGTGGATGTCGTTGGTTACTTTCTGTCTTTTTTACGTTATTTTTACTCTTGTAAAAATATTTATTTTCGTTTGAACTGTTTACATTTTTCAAAGTCAATGCCTTATATACTGTAGTCGTTATTCACGCCATTTAGACTCTTATTGATAGTTTGACGCTCCACACGGATCCAGGTATATACATGTCGGAGTGTAAGGAATAAATCGAAAAAAAATGCAGGCTAAGAATACTTATGCTTTTGAAGAGAAAATTGAAAATATTTGTTGAACGGAAAGACTGGCGGACAAACAGGACAGACAGGGTGATTGTAATATGAGTGCGGGTACAATATTTTGTCAGTGTATGTATCTTAGATGCTAGTGGTAAAGAAGTCTGGATCAAAACGGGGTAATCTTTACTTGTTAAAAACATTTTATACTGTTTAGAATAATAATTGCATGCCTACTGGATATTAATACAATAGAAGTCACAAGGATAATGGAAGCTGTGAAACACCATTTTACAGTAAAAACTGAGCTTTTTGATACAAAGAAACAAGGAGAAAAATCAAATAAATTATGCAACAAAAAGTGTTATCAAATCAAAACAAGTGTTGCTAGAATAATAATATATGCACATAAAGCATAAAATATATGTAATATTTATCGCTGGATATAAGACATACATCAGTTTCATCATCATCATCATCATAAGTATTAAAGCTTGAGGCTAAATCTTCGTCGTATGTATTATAGCTTGAGGCTAAATTCTTATCTGATATTTTAGCCAATTTATGGCGAGAACTTATTTTACGCATGCATCTCTTTGCTACATAGGTTTTGTAAATGTCCAATTTAAGGCCAATAGAGATTATAGAAGTATGTTTATCAAATTATAATGTCTACTCATAATTAAAACAGTAAGCAAGGGATTGACTCGTCCGATTTAAACGAAGCACAAACACAGCAATTACTAGTATTTCCAAATAAACTCCATGTGCCGATCTTAGATTATTCACAGCTACTGAACACATCTTAAAAACAATTACAACTAATAATCCAGTCTAGAATATTAATCAATTATTTCGTACTGTTACACCACTTACTGTCCCAGGTAAGTGGGCTCATTGTTGAAGGTCGTACGGTGGCCTATAGTTGTTAATTTCTCTGTCATTTGGTCTCTTGTGAAGAGTTGTCTTATTGCAAATCATACTACATCTTCTCTTTTGTACATATCACAAATTTAGTATAAATAGTACATAAACAGTCTAGAAAAGCAAGACCTTTTGTCATGTCAAAAGCACAGAGTGTCTGTAGGGCCATTAGTGTTCATAGCTGTATAGCAGGTTATATGTAGTTTCTATAAAATGTAATAATAATTTATCGGTAAAAGATCCATGATGATTTGTTAGTGGAATTATATATAACTAAATAAATAAATATTCATTATAAAAAGAAACATCAGAAACAAGATTATTTGTCCATTAGATTGCACGCCAGTATCACATTTTCGTGTTAAGTGAGCTCTAAATCCAGGAAAAAATCCAATTCAGTATATAGTCTTAAACTTTTAAATCTCAAGCGAGATGTCAAATGTTCAAACATTGTTGTTTTTAAAACGTATTTATCAAAGTCAAACGACTATCGTTATATTTTTTTTGGTGCTATACAATTTTTGATTAAGGCTGGATCCAAGATAATTGAAAGAATGCGTAGTTCCCGATAATTGACTTCATACTGCCGAGCGTAGCGATGCAAAAAAAAAATTGGACAATTTTATACTAAAAATTTGTAAAGATAACGTGGAAAAAATTATTTGGCGATCGAAAGGGGGAAGTACCCCCTCTACCCCTGTATCCCCGAATGCATGTTAGGTATACATGGACAAAAACCTCGTCCCATGCATTGTTATAGTTAAAGACGAAAAAGTACTATTTGATAAATGTATAAATGATATGAATTTCTGCCCACGTCAAATTATCTTGAATTAAATTATACAAAATTTTTTTTTTTTAAATTAGTCGCATACACCTTTTTCATTCGGGTGTGTTGGATTCTACTTTTAAACGTTAAAACTTATAAAAACAAAAAAAAATAACCTTCTCGCTTCGGATTTCATACTTTTAATATTTTCATGCTAAATTTTTACTTGGTAGTTTTTAAAATTCATATTTTGAGAAAAACTGAAATGACAATAAATGATGGGTGCATTTGATTACAAGTTGCTAGCTTACTTATTCCATTAAAATATTTGTGTCAATAAAATCATTCAAAATTTAATAACAAAATATTTAAAGATTAACAAAAGTAGTTGGGGTTGATTTTTATATTAAGTCTATATCAGCAAAAAATGCCTGTTCAAAGAGAAAAAATACATGCAGTGTATGCTCCCCTCCGTAATGCTTCAATGCAATATGACGAAATACGTTGAGTTAGGTCGGTTATGTCGAGTAAAGTTATTTTATTGGAAATCTCTATTATGCGTTAAAATTGGTAAGATATGACACTAGTTCACATTTTTAAAACATTGCAATGCTTCTGGAAATATCTTAGTTAATTTGATTAATACATTCCAAGAATTAATACGAGTGAAAGCAAACACAATGCAAAAAGGGGGTGATGATTTAGTCAGTGCCTATATGTTATCATAACCTATGATGTTTATGTCCAATGAATATTAAGATTTATACATAAGGGGTTAAAGTTAAGGGTTATTTACATGATTTTAAACTTCATAAATGAAATCACTTGTAACCAGTGAGCATGTCTCCTCCAGGACTTCTGTGTAATAAAATTAATACGAGTGTAAGCAAACACAATGCATAAATGGGGTGATGATTTAGTCAGTGTCTATATGTTATCATAACCTATGATGTTTATGTCCAATGACTATTAAGATTTATACATAAGGGGTTAGTTAAACTTAAGGGTTATTTACATGATTTTAAACTTCATAAATGAAATCACTTGTAAACAGTTAGCATGTCTCCTCCAGGACTTCTGTGTAATAAAAGAAAACTAATATACAAGTCAGCCCTTTAACAGTCTGAGCTATTTAAGCAGTAGTAGTACCTCCCTAGCTCAACCGCTGGCTACGTATATACTATTCAAGGGAATCCCATCACGCAATGGTTATCAAACTTTTTGGTACGCGATAACTTGAGTGTTGTTGCCTCTATAATATATTGTTTATGTTACTTGTACTGTTATGAACTTGTACATTTGTATTTAGCCCTACACGGCTACAGCCCAGGCCAGTTAAATGTAGATAATTATTATGTACCGGTCCAATGTCAGGAGCCTTTAATTCAGTAGTTGTCGTTGGTTCATTTCTGACACATTTGTTTTTCGTCAAACATTATAAATTAAGCCATTAGTTTTCTTGTTTGAATTGTCTTTCATTTTTAGATTACCTGGCCCGAAGGGCCAAGTGAGCTTTTCTCATCACTTGGCGTCCGTCGTCCGTCGTCGTCCGTCGTCGTCGTCGTCGTCGTCGTCCGTCGTCATCGTTAACTTTTTACATTTTGAACTTCTTCTAGAGAACCACTGAATGGAATGAAACCAAACATAGCATGAATGTTCCTTATGAGGTGCTGACCAAGTGTTGTTAGTTTGAAGCCGATCCATTATCCAAAATGGCCGCCAGCGGGGGACTTAGTTTAACATAGGACCCTATGGGAAATACATACAAATGTCTTCTTTTAGAGAACCACTGAATGGAATGAAATTAAACATGGCATGAATGTTCCTTATGAAGTGCTGACCAAGTGTTGTTACTTTGAAGCCCGTCCATCATCCAAGATGGCTGTCAGCGGGGGGCTTAGTTTAACATAGGACCCTATGGGAAATACATACAAATGTCTTCTTTTAAAGAACCACTGAATGGAATGAAACCAAACATGGCATGAATGTTCCTTATGAAGTGCTGACCAAGTTGTTACCTTGAAGCCGATCCATAATCCAAGATGGCCGCCAGCGGGGGACTTAGTTTAACATAGGACCCTATGGGAAATAGTTACAAATGTCTTCTTTTAGAGAACCACTAAATGGAATGAAACCAAACATGGCATGAATGTTCCTTATGAGGTGCTGACCAAGTGTTGTTACTTTGAAGCCGATCCATCATCCAAGATGGCTGCCAACAGGGGACTTAGTTTAACATAGGACCCTATGGGAAATATATACAAATGTCTACTATAAGAGAACCACTGAATGGAATGAAACCAAACATGGCATGAATGTTCCTTTTGAGGTGCTGACCAAGTGTTGTTACTTTGAAGCCGATCCATAATCCAAGATGGCCACCAACTGGGGACAGTGTTTAACAAAGGACCCTATGGACAATACATACAAATGTCTTCTTTTAGAGAACCACTGAATGGATTGAAACCAAACATGGCATGAATGTTCCTTATGAGGTGCTGACTAAGTGTTGTTACTTTGAAGCTGATCCTTTATCCATGATGGCCACCAGCGGGGGGACTTCCTTTAACATAAGACCCTATTTGAAATACATGCAAATGCTTCTTCTAGAGGTGCACTGAATGAAATGAAACCAAACATGGCATAACTGTTTCTTATGAGGTGCTGATGAAGTGTTGCTACTTTGTTGATGATTTACTGTTCAAGATGGCCACCAGGATTTTTTATTAAATTACTGTGCCAATATTAAACCAAATTTGGCCTCACTCTTTATTAGGGTATCTGTTATGATTTTAATCTATTTTAACATGATTTTCAAAACCAAAGTAGAATCAGGTGAGCGACACAGGCTCTTGAGAGCCTCTAGTTGAATGTTGTGGCCTTTGAAGCTGACTAATACAATGTGAGTTTTTCTTACCTGTATTTTATTTATTTTTTTAACTTTTGTAGGATCAATTAGAAGTGCCAAAATTAGGGATAGATTGAAGATATGCAGAAGTTAATGAGCTTAGAAATGATTCAAACCATCCTGGAGGAGCAAATTTTGTGAAGGTATTTATTCTTTAATATCCTCAATCTATATTACATACATTTGCGTTAAAATATACAATAACCATTAGGAGACTTTTTTTTTTTTTGTAAGTCCAAGAAAAGGTTACAGACCCTGCTCTCAGTTGGGAAAATGGTACTGTACAGTTTTATTTTATATCATATAGATGCTACAAATGATCAAACGAGAGATCAAGTAATATTTCTACAAAATGTTTTGTTCAATGCGAAGACCAAATAAAATGCACAAAGATATTTAAAATCTGAAAAAAGAATACCTTTCTGTCAGTGAAAACATGACAAGTTGTAACGTGTTTAAGGCAATACTTTAAAATAAAAAATGGACTATTAAATAAAAATCAGATTTGTGAATAAAAATGATATCTAAAACAGGAAATAGATGGGTTATGTCAATTAGATATCAATCCGACAAATTATATGTAGATTTCACTGTCATAACAGACAATTGTAAAAGGAGATATGGGGTTAAAATCTGTATGACAGCAGTTGTTTTTCAACAACAAACAATTGCAAAAGGAAATGTGGGGTAAAAATCGATTAGTATCACAGCAGTTGTTTTTAAGATGACGATCCAGGATTTTGAAAAGGGGGCCACAGGCACCAAACTAAACAACGTTGGAGTGGAATAGGTGGAATTAGATTTACCATTTATGTAGCTTCATGAGGGGGGGCCAGGACGATATTTTTTTACGATATTTTTACAACATTTTTCAAAATGTTTTTAAAACATAAACAAAATGTTTTTGTGTTAACTGGGTTGTAGCGTAGTTGTCGTAAAATATTTTTCAAACAATGCATGGATCGGTTTACATTTACAGAATTCAATATAGAATACTGCTGCATTATAATATCAACAAATTATACATTATATCTGAAATAAAAATACGGTTAAATGTAGCTTAAAGATTCACTGTTCACAACATAAACGATACAAAATTAGACAACCACGATGCACATCACTTTAGATAAATGTGATAACAGGGCACACAATTTCAATGATAAAGCGACAAAATTAAGATGTACAAATAAAAGGAGTTATCTCAAGATAAAATTCATCCTATAAAAAATAGAGCATACATGTCAAGCGCGAGGAAATAGACTATCCTTTTAAAGATCAGAAGATGTCGTATAATTGCGTATGACATCTATCTACCAGAGACCAAATGACGTGGCTATAAACAGCAATGGGTTAGCGCACTGGCTATTACACCTACATTTGTCAAATATGTATTAGTTTGTCTGCAATGATTTAAAAATCTCTTTCAGGTTTATAATAATAATTCTGTCAATAAATGCAACATTATTATAATTTCTGTTTTTCTTTATCTCCCTAAAATGTTTTTTTTTTGCAATGAAATCAAAAAATTAATACAGTATTCAAAGGATAACAGTATGCAGAATTTATAACTTACCCTTGTGATAAGGGAGACTGTCAGAATAATATTAGCTGAAACCGTTATACGACTTCTATTTATTTTCGCCATTTTTATAAGGTATTTGTTGATGGTAACAGCTGAATGGTTGTCAATTTAAATACCTGAATACATTTTCGTATTAAATGTTCTAAACAATAAAACTATAGTAAACGATACATTTAAAAAGATCATTTGTAGAATAATGTGTTGTGTAATAGCCATCTTAATTTATTGTACATTTAAACATAGCGTACACAGGAAACAAAACAAACTTAAAATAATCGATTACCACGAATCTTAATGACGTGAAAATATTGCTCAACATACACTTCATTTTGGCGATCCAGTTGAATTATACATTTAAATATTAAGTACTGCAGATAATACGTACGTATATCACTAGATGCAACAGATCAGTAATAGCTTAATCTTTTTTCCCCGTGATCGCCGCGATAGAGCCTTTTTGTGCTGATGCGGCGTAAAGCAATCACCAATCAATCAATCAATCTTTCCCGTGACCGAGGTTGATAAAATGACACTTTGATTGGCCACACATCAATCAACTCCTGTTATCATTTTACCAAACCATAGACATGAACTTATCCAGAAAAGACGTAGACGTCTCATATCTGTCAATTCCAATTTTGGGTTTTGTATGTTCCTGTTAAATGTGAGTCCAAAAAGAAGCGCAACACTTATAAAGTGATATTTTCAAGTTATACAGTAGCAAAACAAAATTAAATTGTACCTGACAAAATTAGATATTCTTGAAGCAAGTACCTTATGCGTATTTTTTTTTCTATTATATAAAAAAGATATAATTTAATTTGTTTTTCTCCTTGAAGCAGAAGAAATTTACTTTTTCTATACACCTAATTGTGTTTTATTTACCAATGATATCGGATTGCAATAATTAACGCTTTAGTTAGTTTCTTCTATTATCTTTTTCGTATATTTTAGCAAGAATACAAGGAAATGTGGGGTAGAAATTCAAGTAAAAAGGAAACCAAATAAAAACTATTATACGTTTAATAGTACATCTTACAGCCTTCTTGGTCATGTACATTAAAACATCAACTTGAATGTAAACCCGGGTCATGATTCCTCTCATGATTCTTCAAAAAAGACCCGATGTTCTATACAAACCATGTGTATTTCAAACTTAAGAAATATCTTGTAATTTTTAAGGAATTGAATACTCGACTTATGGTTATCTTAATGAAAAGCACAGTATTTGTCAAGATCAGCTAGTATTTAGTAAAATTGACTTCAATGATTAAAACTTATTAATATTTTATCCCTTTTCTTTTTTTGTTAATACGAACAATTGGACACTAAAACACGATGCATTTGCATGATAGTTTACCCATTTTCAAATCTCATAAAACCAACAAGAAATTAGAAATCAAGGTGAATAACATCTGAGAGAATCACATGAACTCCAAAAGGACTGAGATCTGGTATTCATTCATTAACCGTCATGCAATTCAACACTCAAAAGACCCAATATGGAATAGAACACAATCGGATATTTCAACGTGCATGAACTTATGATATCAATTGAGATTCGTAAGCGACGTACACCAAGGGTTATGTCAAAGAAAGACTTATCCTTTCATCAGAAGATATCAAAACCTTGTTGATAATTGTTTCGTATCAATTTCACAAATAATACATGATGGTCTTTTCTTAAAAGCTTGAAGTATAGATTCTAGGTACTAACGTTGTTTATCATTTAAATCACGTCTTATAGTGTTCTTTTTATTTGTCTTTGTTTATTTTAACCTTTACTGTTAAGTTTAATGTTGATATATATGTAGGACTCGGAGGTGCGATGGGGACGCTGAAGTGCCTTGGTCTACGCCGAAGTGCGATGGTTCGTTCGCTGAAGTGCGATGGTCTATTTGCCACATGATGGCTAGTTTAAAATCTACGGATGTGCATTTATTATGAGAAGTACGTGTAGATTCTTTATTAGTTAGTAAATATTGTATAAGTCTGTCCTTAATTACAGTTGCATATTAAATGAGAGATCGTCTTCTTTGATTTTCTACATGAGGACATAATTCTGCATTAACATTTTATCTTTACTTTGTTCCTCTCGTGAGTTTCTCATTTACCGTAATATAATAGTACGGAGAGTCTGTTTGCGGACCCGTATGTATTTACTGAATGTCACGCGCCAGCGTACGTAAAAAGAAAGCGTTGTGTAAATTTCGAAAAAAAATTGCTACAAAAGGTTAACTTTCCCCTATCCACCAATACTCCCCGTTTCTCGTAGTATTTAAGTTTATAAGCCTATTATCAACTTAAAAACCTGGAAAACTGCTCCTAACATACAAATTGACTTCTACATCGACATGAACAGTTTTGCAAATATAGTTTGTGTAGATTATCGTACCTCAGCGTGATCAAAAACGCACTTCAACGTGACCATGGCGGTTCGGAGTACCATCACGGTTCAGAGTCCTTCATATATTTTAGGCGTGGCTAGGTATTTATACCTCCCGCCATTGTGCTATGGTCATTTTTGTATTCTTGTCTTTCATTCTTGCTTATGTACTTTGTCTATAGAATGTCTATATGCCATTTCGTTTTTCTTTGTTTAAATAGTTATTTGTTTTTATAGTGATTAGAATTATAACACAATGTTGACTGCTGTACCCCAATTTTTGACATGTTTACCAATTATGTTTGTTTTGTTCACACATTGTTGTCAATATATTGGAATGCTATATGACTGTCATATAAGTGAGAGGTTTGGCTAGCTATAAAGCCAGTTTTAATCCACCATTTTCTACATAAGGAAATGCCTGTACCAAGTCAGGAACATGACAGGTGTTTTCCATTCGTTTGATCTGTTTGTGCTTTTGATTCTGTCATTTGAAAAGAGACTATCCGTGTTGAATTGTTCTTTGAGTTCGGAATTTTGAAATTTAATTTTTAACAGTTAACAGGGAAGGTTAAAATATCATTTCTAAGTTATAATCATGATAATGATTCTGATTGAATATTTCTGAATCGATCTTCTTCAGAAATTCACATTTGATTTGCATCACTTGTTGAGTTTACCCATCAGAATATTTTTTTACGCGTTATTTACCTGCAGAAAGAATGGCATAAGAATTTTCTAAAGATATTTATTGGAATAATACCACCATTGCTATATATACTTATTTCTGCAACTTAAATCATCCATAGCTTTTTTATCTGAAGTTCAAAATAAAGTGACAGTCATTTCATGTCAAACTATACCTTAAATTGCATATAAGAATGTCGTAGGTCCCGGAAGTTGACATATTTGTTTGTTTTTATAGTGATTAAGATTATAACAAAGTGTTGACCGCTATACCCCTATTTTTGAAATTTTTACCTATTATGTCTATTTGTTTTGTTCACGCATTGTTGTCAATATAATGGAATTTAATGCGGCTGTCATACAAATGAGAGGTTCAGCTAGCTATAAAACCAGGTTTAATGCACCATTTTCTACATAAGGAAATGCCTGTACCAAGTCAGGAATATGACAGTTGTTTTCAATTCGTTTGATGTGTTTGAGTTTTTGATTTTGCCATTTTATTAAGGACTTTCCGTTTTGAATTTCCGTTGGAGTTCGGTATTTTTGTTATTTTACTTTTTATTAATCCATATGTGTTTGTCTGCGTTTTTATAAAGTTAAGGTAAAACATGTTTAATATAATGACAACTGACGAGAACATTAACAAAAATGATTTATAATGTAAGTAAACTAACTTAATTGTTTTAATTAGGGGCAACAGTAGTATACCGCTGTTCAATAGTCATAAATCGATTAAGCGAAAACAAATCCGGGTTACAAACTAAAACCGAGGAAAACACATCAACTATAAGAGGAAAACAACGAAACAACAGAAACACAGTTATGAATTTATAATTAGTTTAATTGTTTGTTTGTTACCTAAATTTGTATCTTCTAAATATTTTTTATAGATCTGAACGTCGGCTATATACCGTTGCCTACATTTAATACAGGTCTTATTATATTTTATATATTCTATTTTGGATTTCTAATGTCTCGATTGGTATCATAGCTACAACCATATTCCATCCAGTCAGTTAAACCAAAGAAGAGAAAACTATACGTAGTCGAGGTAGATTGGAGGGAGACAATACTGAAATAAATGAAATTACGGAAAACCCAAACTCACAAATAGTACATTTAGATATATAAAAATTGAGATTCGTCACTTCAGGACAACACCGCTTATGTTAATGATATCGAAGATAGACATAAAGTACAATCCGAAAACATTGATTAATGCGGCACTACATTATTGAAATATATTCAAGAGACAGAAATGGCTAATAGCAGAAAGATGCAACAACATATGACAAACAAACGCTGGAACATGTTTTTAAGTTACTGTTGATTTTAATTAAGGGTTATGTTTTGTCATTTATGGCGTTAGGTTACTGTGTAATTGATGTGTTTCATATATATCCTTTAAATTGATAACTTTAAATGTGTTTCAACCATAATCCATTTTTTGTAGTGTAAATATAACGTTCCTTATACCATGGTATAGTGTTAATATGTAAATGATGATCACAAATGTAATAATGATTGATTGATTGATTGATTGATTGATGTTTAACGCCACTTTCAGCACTATTGTGCAATTTGTGGCGGTCTGTTTATATTGTTGCAGGAAGCCTCAGTGCCCGGATAGAACCACCGACCTTCGGTAGGAAAACTGACAATCCTAGTCAATTCAGATTGGAATCTAGCGCACTTGCCACGTGCGGGATTCGAACCTCATTGTTGACAAGCTAGTGATACAACTCGCTAAGTTGTTGTTTGTTGACAATGCCAAAGTCTCCAGATGTCACATATCAGCTGGACTTTATGTGTATGAGGACAATGGCAACCGGACGGTTTGGATTTGACCGTACTGGGGGTAAACTTTCTCTAATATCCTCTTGTGGTTGAAAATTTTGATAGCAATATGTTTGGTGCAAGTATATGAAATCACAGGTGTAGTTTAATCTTTCAAGTAATCAAGTACAAATATAACTTGAGATGAAAACAACTGATGGAATAGCATGAATGTCGACAAGCCGTCCCATGCTATGATTTATCCGCCATGCAATCTCTCCA